GACCGTGGCAAACAGGGGCCAGTCGGGTGAGAGTCACTATGTGGGCACCTTTCTTTTATGTGCTTAGCCTGCTGGTCTGGCTGTTTCCTATGCCAACTGTGGGAAACCTCGGGTCTCTGTTTGTACCACCTGTTTTGGGCCAAGTCGTGTCATTTGTGGGATCGTTGGGGGTAGCATCAATTATGTACCAGCTGATTGATCTGTTTGTACCCCCAGTGGTCATTCATGGAATGTCCTTCTTGTCTACAATACAGTCTGCGTATTGGTTCATCTTCCTGCTGGCTGTATCATTTTTGTTGGGCCTGGTCATTGGCAAAACAGAGACAAGAGGAAAGGATGCTTGCATTCTCATGCCCAAAGATCAATATAGTTTTCCCAAGTTTGAGATGATTGCCGCCAGAGGCACATAGTGTCCCACGAACCGTAACTCTGAATAAGCTACATTATACTCCAGGAGTAACTTACCATTTTGTGATTATATTCATCACTTGCAAAAAGTGATGTGCCCAGCATTTATTATATCACTTGTAGTGTGGCCAGCAGGTCGAGGGAGGTGATTCTCCCCCTCTACTCTGCTCTGGTGAGACCCCACCTGGAGTACTGCACCCAGTTCTGGAGCCCCCATTACAAGAGGGACGTGGACCTGCTGGAGCGTGTCAGAATGATCCGAGGGCTGGAGCAGCGCTCCTACGAGGACAGACTGAGAGAGTTGGGGCTGTTCAGTCTGGAGAAGAGAAGGCTCCAAGGTGACCTGATTGTGGCCTTCCAGTATCTTAGGGGGGCCTACAAGAAAGCTGGGGATGGACTTTTTAGGCTATTGGGTAATGACAGGACTAGGGGCAATGGGGCAAAGCTGGAAGTGGGCAGATTCAGGCTGGATGTGAGGAAGAAGTTCTTCCCCATGAGAGTGGTGAGACCCTGGAATGGGTTGCCCAGGGAGGTGGTTGAGGCCCCATCCCTGGGGGTCTTTAAGGCCAGGCTGGATGAGGCTCTAGACAGCCTGATCTAGTGGGAGGTGTCCCTGCTCATGGCAGAGGGGGTGGAACTGGGTGACCCTTGTGGTCCCTTCCAACAATGACAGATTCTGATCTGTTTTAGCAGAGGACTTTCGAGCCCTAATGGCTCAATGGTTGGACTTGATGATCTTGGAGGTCCCTTCCAACCTAAAGGATTCTATGATTCTAATTGTTAGTAAACAGCAAGATATAAGAATAAAAGAATAGATTTACTCTGTTAAGGGTTAAAAATGTATTTGATATAGTAGGAAGAGGTACAAAAGGAAAATGTAAGAGAAAGACAACACAACTAAAAGTTATAATTATTGATGATTATCCATCCTACCTATGTTAAAGTCTCAGCCAGTCTGGTAAGATAGCACAGAATGTTAGGTCATTCTTCCCTTGACTTCCCCATTCTTTCTTCCTGACCCTTTTTATTTGAGCACTGCATTTCCTAATTTGAACTTTTTTTTCCTACTTCACTGAATTTCTTGTAAACCAAAGCATTTGTTAAACTAGCTTTCTGGTTTGTGCATAATCCATCTCAAGAATGGTTCTTTACACAAACACCTCGCTGATTGTGCAGCATGAAGCTTCCCATGAAGACCAAATGTGATGCAACCTAAGGTAACGCTTAACTAGGGTATCAATGGAGTAATGCCACACATACATATATACATACATATATACATACATATATACATACATATATACATACATATATACATACATATATACACACACATACACACACACCCCATATGCATATACTCATATTTACAGGGCGGGAACTTCTTTTTAAAACCTTTTCACACTAACCCATAGCTGAATAGCAAGAGCACAGCATCTATTCTTTGCCAAAATTGCTAGTAGTCCTGTACCACTATGTTATATAACTTAAAGGTTAGAGTGTAGCATATGTTTAAAATTTATTAGCTACCATCAATCACCTTTATTATTTTGTGGGTGATAGGATATGTTCAGGTCAGTACAGTTATAAATATTGTCAGTCTATGAGAAAAGGTGTAGTGAAATACTCTTTTGTCTTGGAAGTAGCTGAGGCTTTCAGTTCACGCGCTGTAGCCCAAAGGAGTTTCCCAAGCTTGTTTACCAAAGTTATATTTGTATCATTGCATTTAAATAATACATTTTCCTGCTTATTTGGCAGATTAATTTGATGCCTGTATCTCCTGACTTGACAGTTAGATGAAGTGGAGTTTCAGTTTTCATTTGTAATACTTAGACTTTCCTCTTGCAAGTGCTTATAGTGACTGTATCTCAAATATTGTGCCCTATGGTTTCTGTACTTAGAGAAGATTATGTTCTTGCACTGTACTGGTAAATATAGACTGCTGTCTTATGCATGAAAGCAACACTTTATGGTCTGACTTTCAAATTCTAACTGGGGAAGATCTAAGACCAAAAGTTCTTACTCAAGGTTATAACAAATTATTGTAGTCACCAGCAAACAGGTGTGGGAACTCAGTGGCCACTGTTTTATGTAGATTAAGATTCTGGTAAAAAAAGGTGATCTCCAGGAACAATTTCCCTCTCATAATTCTATACTGGGTGAACAGGTGAACTTTTTTCTTCCCAAAACATCTCCAGAGTCTGTAAACAATAATTTTAACATCAATTATTTTTTTCACAGAAATTCTCCTGAGACTATAAAAATCTCTGTAAAAATTAAATGCAACCACAGTGCTGCTATTTTGAGATCTTTTACCAGATAAATATAGCAAGGTAGGGTGTGGTTTCTAAGGTTAAAATGTTTCTACTACTGCAGTCGTAAACAGTGGAAAATCAAAAGCTTTGCTGAAAGCTATAAATCGTATATATAGCTTAAAATTTTTAAAATTCCAGTTAGACCACCTGATTGATTTCCTTGGCCTCTTGGTGACCAGTTTAACCAATTTTAACCAATACTATATCTCATAAAAATATATTGTCCATGTGAGATATATTCTTGTCTTTTGAAAGGAGTTCATTTTCTTAGTTCATGTACTAGTGAACTTGCAACATCCTACATAATGATGACTTTTCTGTTGGCATCAGTACAAATGCCAACAAATGAATAAGCTTGGAAATTCTATTACCTTTTCATCTGATCTTTTCTGACCTGTTTGAAAATCTTTCTGGTCCTAACCAGAACTTTCTAGTGGTTTGCCATTATCAACTCTTTTTTTTAACGTATCAGATGAAATTTATTTCTTTAGAATAGCTAGACCACACCTATATGTAAGTGAGTGTTTATAAATGCACTTCATTATATTCTGAATGAAATTGTCTTTAAATACATTTAATAATAAGTAAGAGATGTTTTTATTAGACGAACTGATTCAAATGGAAGAAGCAAGCAATTCTGCTTTTTCTGCTGCATATCACATTTTGTTTCAGTGTGTCTGTGTTTCGAATATGTTTGACATAGGCCCTTGCTTGAGGCTTTTTCCTTCTAAACTGTCATATTATTAGTGCTGTTATTGTTGTTGGTTTCAATCATCTCAGTAACATTTCTCAGATATTCATTTACATAGGAGTTCCTCTGAGATAGGATTTCTAAAAATGCATAGGTAACATGGCTTCATAAAAAGAAATTATTGATAAATTGAACAATTATTGCAAAACGTGTTTATACTCACAGTAGCAATTTAATATTACACAACTCAACCAACATTCAGAACTCCATGTATCATTTAACAAAATAAAAATGTTTTCTGTCTAGGGAGAATTCATACAGATTATATTCAGAAAGGCTGAGGTGAACCATATAGGTCACAGTCAGTACTTAATGATTTGTCAGAAAAAGGCACTGCTGAATCACTGTCTACTCACAGGCAGCAGCTGTAATACTTACGAAACTTGAGAAGACTTTTTCATGTGGTGTTTTGAATGTTCCAGTGTGTAAGAGAAGGAAAAATTAACTCAGTGTTTAAATATCTTGTTTGAAAAAGAGGCCTATGTTACACTAGCAGTTAAACATAGAATCATAGAATCATAGGGGTTGTAAGGGACCTCGAAAGATCATCTAGTCCAACCCCCCTGCCAGAGCAGGGTCACCTAGAGTACATCACACAGGAAGGCGTCCAGGCGGGTTTTGAATGACTCCAGTGAAGGAGACTCCACAACCTCTCTGGGCAGCCTGTTCCAGTGCTCCGTCACCCTCACAGTGAAAAAATTTTTCCTGATATTCACCTTGAACCTCCTATGCTCCAATTTGCACCCATTACCCCTTGTCCTATCACCGGTCAACACTGAGAAAAACATGCTTGTCTTTATCATGTATTTAATTTTTAAAAAATCTTAGGAAGTGCAAATAAATGTGGAATTTATTTTTTTTTACACTGAAAGATAATAAAAATATCTATTCATGTACAGAAACTTCAGAAACTTGAAGTTTACTTCATTAAATGCAGACATAGTGAATCTGTTGAAATACTGTTTCTCCAGTGTTTGGGGGGTATTTAGTTTTGGTTTTCTTTGCAAGGCTGGTAGTTACATGAATAAAATCTATGCAGAGGAAACTTATTTTCATTCTTAACACATAAATGCTGTTTTGTCACTTTCTGTTCTGCATTGGATTATAATTTGCAATCATACTATTCTTACTTTAAGACTTATTTAACATACATTTCTGTGGCATTGCTAGAGCATAAATTTTCCACTTCCCACACACCTGAACACAATGACAGTGTTGATCAGCAGTAGATTTATCAAACATTTTTTATAGGAACATAGCCTTGTACTTTACAACTCTCATAATAAAATTCATGTTCTATCATGCCAGAAGCACTACAGATTACTGAAACCCTTGTCTGCTTCTTGTGGTAATGATAAGTACTAATAATGAACTTGCTGAAAGTTCCATTATCTAACATTTACTTTTGTTGAACCGGAACTGAAACTCTTTTTCTCTGCCTCAATGTGCTGAAAACGGCTTCCTTAAAATGAAGTATTTCTTAGAGTCAAAGATAAATGCTAGTATTATTTTCTAAAACAAAGGACTGGTAAATTATCATTTAACACGGTTCTTCTGTATTCAGGGAAACATTCTTTGCAAAGCATGTGAAGCATCATTACATACTGGCACTTTCTGCTTCTGAGAAAAAACTATGTATCTTTTTGCAAAATATACGCAAAATACATATTGGCGTATGTATTTGAATGCAAACTAATTTACTTTATAAAAATTCTGACTGCTAATTATTCTCCTAAAGGAAAAATGTGTTTACTGACAATACCAGAAAACGCTAGAAACTTCAATTATTATTCGTCTTTGTATTACGCATTCAGCACATTAATTTTCAAATAAAAAATTCCTTGTTCATCCTACTTACACAATGGATAGTATTGATGAAATTGGAAATGTAGAAGATTGTGCTAATATAAAATTATTGAAAATTAACAAATCAAACAATGTATTACATGGAATGCAGAACTGCACCAAAAAAAAAAAAAAATGCAGGTATGTATTATTCCAAATGTTGGTGACTTTGTTTTATTTTAATTTCCTTGAAATTTTAAATTCAAGTTGAAATATGACATATAAAAGAAGAATCTTTATTGAAGACTTTGTCTCTGTATGTTCTGAATAATATTAGCTACCTTAAACAACAGTCTTAATATCTATCTTACTGGTGTAAGCCAATCCTAAGATTTCTCCTTACTTTAAGAACTGCATTTTAACACACTATAGTTTTGTAAAACCACTGAACACGATGATGTTGTTTGGATAATATGAAAACATCATCTCAGTGACATTAATGATACATCAAGAGCTCTTTTAGAAGTTGCCATGAAGAATGTTCTTTCCACAATTACCACTGTATGTTTATGTTTTCACTAGTGCGCTGAGAATGGACAATGCATGAGCATCATGTTCTGGAAGACATCCTATGTAGCCTAGGAAAAGTGTAATTTCTAGTAAAATTGCTCCACTGAAGTTAATTTTTCATCATAATTTCTAGTCACTGCTTAGAAAGTTCACCCCATGGAAAGACAGATATTACTGTTACAAATTTTAAGGTAGGCTGTGGCATGGAATGACCTTTTAACTTTTCATTTTCATTTTCTTTCTCATAGAATATTAACACCTTTCTACAAAGATCTGAACAAGTACAGTCAACTGATGGAAAACCCACCACATGTAAAGACATCAATGCATGAAAAATCATTGTTCCTGGATGTTAAGTTTGTAAGAAATGTGTCTTAGGTCACCAGTCATCCCTTCCATGGGAAAGGATTGTTTGCTTATTGTTGCAAGAGCAAAATCCCATTGCAATTACACATTTTCTGTTTAAATTAAGAAACAAACAAACAACAAACCAGGAAATATATTGTTAGTTCATATTAAATAATCTGATTATTTCATATTTTTTCCTAAATAAAATTAAACCAGTTTCTGAACTTAAATAGAGCCAATAGTGTGTTCATTGATGTTTGGTATAAGAATGGAATACACCCAGTTCTTGCAAGGGAGCTATCTGGTTACCTTTTGTTATGTGTATAGTTTATTAGTGCATTAATTTTAATTAATTAAATGTTGTAATAAATATTTTTTTTAAACTGTGTTGCAATTCATAGCTAACAAAATAACTAAATTAAAACATTTTTCTCTACGATAAGGGTAAACTACAAAAAAGAATTCATGTAGATGAAAATTGGAGTGCTTGTTGACAAAGGAGGTGATGGATCTTTATTTTCCAATGTATTCCTAACCTTCCATTTTAGCTCAACTCTTCTACCACACGTTAAATCTGCAGGGTCTTTCTCCAGTGCAACACCACACATAGCCCACAGTGGCACAGGGTGCTTCTCCCTGGTAACCTCCCCTCCCACCACATGGCACTGAGCAGATCCCAAACGAAGCCATGACACAGGCACTACACCACGCCTGCTTCCACTCTGAATTCCACACATATTATCAGTAGTCACTGGAATTTGCAGTGAGGTTCCACACAACTGTTTTCAGTAACTGACTGAAAGACCTTTCTGAATTATCACAGTGTATTGAGGGCAGCATATACTCCAGACGCACATCATAGGTTTTCATGCATGATAGGTGTTTGTCTAAAAATCTCTATGGCACACGACACCTAGCGGATATTGCCGTCTGCAGGAGATGAAGCAGAGTCTGGGTGTAACACCCTTCTTGTTTAGTGATGAAGTGGTTGTTTCTTTTTCAATATCCAGTCTGACTCTTACTGGCTTTCCTGGAAGTTTTTCTCGAATAGCTTTCATAGAAATTTTCCTGTTAACAGGATGTTTGCAGTCTTATTCAACTTTTCAATTCTCTTGTGGCTAGTGATGACTAACTATAAGGTGACAGAAATCAGTTTTTCATGGAACTTTATAACAAAAATTTTTGAACACTTTTTGGAATTCATTTCTCTAGAATTTAACACTGACATGGCTAATAAATCCTTGGTGTTCAACGGTACTCATTCTTCTAATCCACAGTTTCATGTTTTCTGATGACTAAGCATAGCAAGTAGATTGATATCTGAACACACTATACCTTCTAAATAGCAGTTAGTCAGCTAACCAAGATTTTAGCAAACCTTGTGCATTTTACATCTTCTTGCTTGCTTAGAAACATAATTAATAAGCAGGTACTTCCAAGATGCCTGCTCATAGCTGAACACTGCTCTGTCATTCCAGGGTATTTTTTTTCCTGCATTTGGCAGGACCCTGATAACAATTACACAAAATATTGAAAGCTTCCTTTCCTTGGTTTCATTCAGCAAAGTACTTTAAACAGATGATGATGCTCTCTGTAAATATGTATAGACCCACTGAAGTCAGCCAGCTCATAGGGAAGCACAAACTTATGCCCTTGGTTAAGAAGTGCTATCTGCACAGAATACATTTTCATTGCTAATATATCTATTACTTTTAATGCAAGAATGTATGACATGGTATAGTTCAATGCTTGCATAACACTTGCTTGATGCTCCTAATGAGATTTCTAAATTGCCTGCTCAAGGCAGAAAGCCATTATGTATCAAAAACCTGAGAGCAGCATAGAAAAAGAGAAACTGGCATAGTTATAGTTGGACAAGGGCTAGTAGACCTACCCGTAAAATACATTCTGTCTTATTTTGTGACAAAATATTTTGTCAGATTTTCAGAACTTGCTGGTGTCAGTGATGGTAGGCTTGTTTCTTTGTTGAGTAAAGACAGTCAGATTTTGAAAGGAAAGCTGGTAGTCTGGCAGTAGCAGATCAAAGTATCTATATGTGATATATGAAGCTCAGAATAGTACCCAGTAAGCTTATCATTTCAGGCAAATAATGTTGTGTCTCTTAACTCTACATATTTTGTGCTAACCACACTGGCACATTGTAGCTAAGTGCTATCTTAGAAACAGATGTAACTTTGGTGTGCCCCCGCAAACCATGCTAAAACCTCAACATCCTCGTTTTACTTATGACAACAGACTTTATGATGCATGCAAATGAATCGGCTTTGTTACCAGAATAATTTCTTTACATAGCATGTACAACCTGGTCAAAATTTAAACCCCATATTCTTGAAACATTACATAAATTTATTTCTAAAACACTTTGGCTTTTTTCTTCTCATAAAAATATCACAGGGATATAAAAAAAAAAATTACAATGCAGTTCTCTGCTATTTGCATGTTTTGGAATCTTTAAACTTTTGCTTTTATTCCATATTTAGTTTCTTCAATAAAAGCCAGCTTTAACTACTATGTGTTAAATTCTGACTTTACTTACTGGAATTCTTCATGTGAAAATATGAAAGTATTATTTTCAGAAAGCCTTGTGAACAGTCTCTAAGTCTGAACGAGGTAAAAGGGTAATTCAGGTACTGGAAATCATGAATTTATATTTAGGCAAGGTTTTTCAAGATTTACTCCTTTTGTCATACACTGTGTGTATATATAGATATCTACCTATGACCTAGAATGCTGCATTTTATGGCCTAGAATGGAACATCATGTGGACACCAGTGGCACAGCCAGGAGCAATCTGAAGAGTATCAAGAGGAACTACAGAGCCCTGGGAGAGGCAGGGAAGGACTTGAAGGTGCAGGTAGTCTTCTCAGCAGTCCTTCTGATCAAAGGGAAGGGGCTTGAAAGGGCCAATTGAATTGGGAAAATCAGTAAGTGATTGTGGGAGTGGTGACACAGCCAGGGCTTCCACTACCTAGACTGCTGGATTTGCTTTGAGAAACCTGGTGCCCTGGGGGCTTATGGAGTCCATCTCTCACGGAAGGGGAAGGACATCTTTGGCCACAGGCTTGCCAAATTAGTAAAGGGAGCTTTAAACAAGAGTGGCTGGGGGAGGGCATTCTCAATCCATCTCGCCTCAAGGCCACTGCCAGTAATAGATGCCTTGGGACTGGAGAAGGATCACAGGCCACTAAGAAAGCACCTGAAGTGCAAGATAATGGAATTCCTGCCAGTAAGTCAGCTTTAATGAGGGCTCAAATTAAATCATCTATGCAAATGCATGGAACATGGGGAACAAACAAGAGGAGTCATGGAAATGTGCATGCCTACAGGATTATGATGTTTTTGGCATCACAGAGACATGGTGGAATGGCTCCTATGGCTGGAGCATGGGAATAGAGAGATAAAAACTCTTTAGGAGAGATGGGCAGAGGGGAAGAGTTGAGGGTGTCATCCTCTACATCAATTACCAGGTGGAGTCTGTGGAGCTTGGCCTGGGGATGGATGAAGAGCTGACTGAGAGCTTATAGGTTAAGGTTAAAGGAAAGGCAGGGGAAGGTAGTATTACACTGGGGGTCTGCTACAGGCCACCTGACAAGTAAGACCAAGCTATTGATGGCCTCTACAGAGAGAAAGGAACGGCTTCATGTTCATAAGCCCTGGCCCTCTTGGGGGATTTCAGCTTCCCTGATATTTGTCGGAAAGGCACAGAGCAGGTCAGCAGGAGTGGAATACATTCACAACAATTTCCTTTTTCAAGTGGTAGAGGAATCAATGAGAAAAGGTGCTATGTTTGAACTTTTTCTCACCAACAAAGAGGGGCTTGTGGGTAATGTGGAGCTCAAGATCAGCCTTGGCTGCAGTGACCACAAAATGGTGTAATCCAAGATCCTTAGGGCAACAAACAAACAAGATTGTTTGCTATGAGATTTACAGCAAACTGGACTTCAGCAGAGCAGACTCTGACCTCTTGAGGTATCTGCTTGGCAGAGTGTCATAGGTTAAAGCCCTGGAGGGGAGAGGGGCCCAAGAAAGCCTGTCAATATTAAAGGATCACATCCTCTTAGCCCAGGAGTAAAGCATCCCAAAAAAGAGAAAGGCAGACAAGAATGCCAGGAGGCCTGCATGGGTGAACATGGAGCTTCTGGACACACTTACATGCAAAAAGAAAGTCTACAGAGAGTGGAAGCTAGAAAAGGCAGCCTGGGATGAATATAAAGAAGTTGTCCAAGTAGCAAGGAGTTTAAGAAAGCTAAAGCCATGATAGAATTAAACCTGTCCAGGGACATCCAGGGTAACCAGAAAAACTTCTACAGGTAGGTACATCAATGACAAAAGGAAGGCCAGGGAAGATGTGGCCCCACTCTGTAAGGAAACAGGAAACCTGATCACAAGGGGTGTGGAGAAGGCTGACTCAATGACTTCTTTGCCTCAGTCTTCACCAGCAAGGGCTCTAGTGACACCGCCCATGTTTCAGAAGGCAAAGACAGGGACTGGGAGAAGGAAGGTCCACCCACTGTAAGTGAAGGTCAGGTCTGAGACTGTCTAAAGAAGCTGAAGCTGCACAAGTCGATGGAATCTGATGTGATCCATCTGTGTGTCCTAAGTGAGCTGATAGATGAAGTTGCTAAGCTGCTTTTCATCATTTTTGAGAAGTCATGGCAGTCTGGTGAAGTTCCCACTGACTGGAAAAGGGGAAACATGACCCCCATTTTCAAAAAGAGAAAAAAGTAAGACCTGGGCAACTACAGCCCTGTCAGTCTCACCCCTATGTCCAGAAAGATCATGGAGTAGATGATCCTGGAAACTATAGCTTTTTATTTTCACATGAAGAATTCCAGTATGTAAAGTCAGAATTTAACACATAGTAGATTTAGGTTAAGACATAAGAAGAAATTTCTTCAGTATGAGGGTGATAGACCACTGGAATAGGTTGTCCAG